CCCAAGCTTTCCTGCTGGGCTCCCTCGTGGCCTGGAAAGACCAAGGACCGGCTGGGTCCTGCCCCCCCCCCCAGAAGTCCAGACCACTCAGAGGCCTTCGCTCTGCCCCGCAGGAGCCCAGCTGCTTTCCCCCAGGCCCAGCCTTCCACCCCCTGCCCCGCCTGGGTGTGACTCGGGCCCATAGACCACGTGGCAAACTCTCCAACTGAAGGCCAGGATGGCAGCTCTTGGCTGCAGCCGGGCTTGACCGCTCAAGGCTCCCGAGCTTCAGAGGCCGGAGGCAGCCAGCCCTCCCGGCCCCACCAGAGGAGCCACCTATCCAGGCAGACACACACACACACACACACGGCATCTCCCTCCCCACCCCAGCTGACGAGCTCCACCTCCAACCCCCTGGCGGAGTGAGCCACGCAGAGCTGGGAAGTGAGACCTGGCATCCACAGCACGTTTTGAGCTCTCAGGAAGAACCACGCGGGAAAGGGATCCCTATCCAGAATCTGAGTTTGGCAAGAAGGGAGAAAAGAGCCAAGGCCAGGACAACTCCCCTGCACCGGCCGAGGCACCAGGGCGGCTCTAAGGGTGTTGAGACGAAGCTCCGGCCACATTGACGGGCGGCTCCCACTTGGCAGCCTCTACGGCCAGGGCCTGCCCTGGAGCAGGGCCCAAGGATTCCCTTCTCTATGGAAGTGGGAAGGGGGCACAGGCAGCCCCCGACTTTCGACCCCGGGACGCCACCTCCGTCATAAGTACGTGCCGGCTGCCAAGCGCCCAAATTTGGACCACACAGCCGGGGGGGGGGGGGGAGAGGACTGCAACGGGTGGCTGTGTGAAAAGCAGCCGCAAGTCCTTTTCTTCTGGGCCGATGTAACTTAGAAGAGTCACTGGGCGAATGGCTGTAAGTCAAGGACTTTTCCCCATGTGTTGGAATCCCAGGGAATCTGGTGGTCCTCCTCTCCTCTCCTCTGATTGGTCCACAGCCCAGCCTGCCCCCCCCCCTTTCCACCCGAGCACCATGTTAACACAGAGAAAGGGCGGAGAGGTTGAAGAGTCCGAAGAGAACCTGGAAGGCGATGCAGGGCTTCGGCTCTGATCAAGATCTTGACAGGTGGGAGGATTTTACACAAGAGGATTCTTCTGGAATGAAGGAAAGGAGATCAGGGGGGCTGGTGATTGTTAGGGATAACATGGTTACCTAACTTAGTTTGGGTAAAATAATATATATAGACTATGATTGTGTGTGTCACTTTAAATGCAGACCATGTATTTTGGGTGCAGTTGTAGAATCACCATAAGAGGGAGCAAGAGAGCTCAGTTTGCTGGCTTATTGGATTGATGATTGATGGTTTGCTAACTGCCTGTTTTCCTTGCTACTGAGTTTGAACTGCGAAGGAAGAAAAAGAGAAAGGAGGTTTGACTTCTTATCTCATACTGCGAAGAGATAAAATACTGGACTGATATTGTAAGTTTAATGAACTCTTTTTCAACACTGGACTTTGCTAATGGATAAACCCCGGATGGACTGAACTAAGTGTATGATGTATGGACTGTTTGACTATGCTATAACAATCTTATTGGAATAAAAACTATTTAACTGGCACAGTGTATCTGATTTACTGATTGTAAGCTACAACGTTTATCTCACATATCTGCCTGGCTGACTGACTACCGTTGCACGTTCTGCTAGGGTGTATATCCCTAACAGTGATCAACTCTGCTTTACGCCCTAGAATTGGTACAGCAACAGGATCGATTGAGGCCAGATGTAATGGTTAGTTTCAGGACTGGCATCTCACGAGGACGCTACTCTTTATTCTGTATTCTTTGTTCTATTCAACAACCGCAACTTAGGCACGTTTTTTGCTGCATCGTCACCCGTGTATCTTTTTTGCTGTTTCATTAAAAAAAACCTGAAAAATAGGGGATCTGCAATTCTTTTAAACAGGCGTAAAAGCGCGGGGGGGGGGCAACGCTGCCTGTGGCCGTTATCGCTGAGACGGCCGCTTGGATCGGGGCTTTGGCTGGAGCTTTTGAGGTTCCTTTGGCCTCTTTCGAAGGGAGGAAGCGCAGAGGCAAAGAAACTCCAGGCCGGTGGGGTGTGTGTGTGTGTGTGTGTCCAACCTCTGTTCCCAGACCAGCACGAACCGCCCCGGGGAGGACAGGAAAGGCTCTGGGAAGAGAAGGAACTTGTGCCTGAGCGTGGCTTCCTGTTGGGAGTCCGGACGGAGGGAGAAAGCCGGCTTCTTCGTCTTCTCCGCCTTTGGTCCCTTTGCTGCCTCCGTGGGGAGTGGCAGAGAGGCCAGAAAGGGAGGCTGCAGCCCAACGGAGGAAGAATCACCTCTCGTGAGTAGTTGAAAAGGACAGCGAGGAAAAAGAAAACCCAGATGTTTTTTCCTTTCAATTCTACATCTCTCGAAAGCTTTTTCAATTTTCACATTCAACCCTGTGTCAGGGAGTTTTGAGGAAGGCCAGCCCCCTCCAAAACCCACGTGGTGTGATAAAGTTACACAGAACAACGGTGGCTGGTCTGCCCACAGGGAGCCAAGCTGCCCGGCATCCAGAAGGCAAAGCCCTGCATACGGAGAGCAGGCGGGGGGGGGGGGCAGGGGGCCGGGGTGGGGGGGGGGGGGAGGAACCAACATTAGTGCTGCAGAAGCCAGGACCCAATTCTGCGCCGCAGTCCTGTGGGTGGAAACCCTGACGGGGCTGCCCAGAGGGTCCATCAGAGCAGGAGCCCCCAACTTCAGCCACGTCATTCCAGCCGAATAGGACAGAGGTGTGAATCCCACCTCGGAGGCAAGCCAAGCCTTGATACTGGAGGTTGCCGGGATGGTTGCCCTCTTCCCTGCATCTTTAGCCCTGCTTCGGGGACAGAATAAAACGATGGGTGTAGATCTAATTAGATAAAAAATAAAAAAGGGGCTCCAGGTATGCCTGACCTTGCTTGACCAGCCCAAGCCTTGGGGTTGAGGAGGAGTGGATCCCTCTCCCAGCATGGGCCTATGAATCAGCTCCTCCGGCCTCCTCAACCCCAAGACTTGGGGTGGTCAAGCAAGGTCAGGCACAGCTGGAGCCACTTTTTATTTTTTTATCTAATTAATTCACACCCCATTGTTTTATTCAGGCAAGTCCCTGGGGCAGCCAGCCTTTAAATGTGTTAGCCATGTCAAGGCCACTTCTGGACAGGACTGTCCCCCAAGCACCACCTTCTGGACACGAGGTGGGACGAAACCCCTGCAAGTGGCACCGCCAGGGCCAAGCTGGACAAAGGAAGAGCCCCCTTGATATGCATGGCCACCAGGACCAGAGCCCGGCCGGAAGCCCAAACAAATGGAGCCCAGGAAAACACTGTGGTCACTCAAGCTCAGTCTGGAGGTGCAAGGTGGCACTTTCGGGGTCCCCCAAGTGGGACGTTTGAGAAGGGCCTGTAATTCTGCCAATCTCCACTGAGCAGCAGCCTGCCCAGAAAGCAGGGCCTGCCAAGGATCCGGGACCTGCCTACGGAGCAAAGAAAAAAAAGAGAACAAAAAGGATCCAGGGGAGATTTGGCTTCAGGTCAGTTTACTGCGTTATTAGAAACTGGACCTAGGAGAGGCTAGGAGAGAGAGGTGTCTGTTTCAGTGCTAACATAACCATCTGTAAACCCAGCCAGGCTCCTAACCCACGAAGCAAACGACGTTTGCATGTAGGTCATAGAGTAGTTTAAAAGCTGCAGGTTGACAACACGACAGGAAGACGTTGCTGCAACACCCCACGGCCTCTGGCCTCTCAACGAGGCTGTCTGAGGACATTGTACAAAAGAAGCCCATTTACCGCTTAGCTTCTCCTCCTGTACTCTGCACTTAACCCAAAGTAAATGCCACCTGGAACCATGGTAGCGTATATAAAGCAGCTCTGTTGTTAGAGAGCTACAGCCTCTCGAGCAGGTATGACAGCCAGGCGTTTTGAAAACTTGTTTACCAATCTGAGGTGAAGGGAAGTTTCTGTTTTTGCACCTCTAAGAACCTGGCTCGTTGTGAACCGCAGCTTCTTGATTACGTTCTTTTCTGCTTGCTTGCTTGCTTGCCTGGTGGAAACCCCTGCTCCTCTGGGTGTGGGAAAGGACAAGTTCTGGCCTTTTTGCTTCCTTCGTAGCTTTTTCAGTGTCTCTTGTCAAAGGGCTGTAAACATGATTTATCTCTATGTGTTTGTCAATAGCTAATCTGTCTGAATGCCAAGCTTCCAGGAATTCCCTGGCGTCTTTCGATTTAGCTCCTCTAGGATGCTCAGTCTGTCCACGTGTTGTGAGGTTAAGCAACTGGTGCCAGTGGGTGCATCCTCTCTAGCCTTCCGTTTGGCCCACATAGTGACTGTTACAGTCCTGACACTGTGTGTGACTCCTGGTTTTTCTTCTGGGTTTTTCTGCTGGATCTTTGGATTAACTTAAGATGGTTTTGGAGGGTTTTAGTTGCTTTGTGTGTTGCAGTGGTGCCATGTCGTCGTAACCGTCTGCTGGCTGTTTCTGACACAGGGCTGGGTTATCCTTCTCATAACTGTTGGTGCTGTGGTGGGTTGAGTGGCCAGGCGCTTTTTGATAAAGTTGCGTAGGTATATCCATTGTGTCGAAAGACAGGCAGAGTCTGTTTCCCTTTTCTGGGGTTCTGGGTTGCTGTGGTGCATTTGTCCTCTGGGAAGCTTGGCTGGCAATGGAGCACTGGTGGGGGGGCTATTTTTCCAATAAACTTGGGCTCTGCGTTGCCCTGTTCCCTCTCCTGGTGGGGATATCCAGGAAGGCAGCGTCTCGCTT